GCTTCTGGGTGCCCGGAAGTGATGTATCAGACCACGCGCTGTTAACTTCTGACTAATCGCGGAAACGAACGATTCTCGGAGTGCGACCTCTCAGGATGAACTTTAAGCTTCTAAGATAATTGGGTTCCCGTCAAGAAAGACGCTAGAAAACAAACTCACCACAATATATTTAGAACGATATGCACACTCGCAGACTCTCTTACCGAAGCCTAGCTTGTTCCGCACATCACGACAGCGTTTCGACTTCCCTTCGTAGTGTCACGGATAACAACAGCCTTGGATATCGCGGTGGCGACATTCAGCGCTCCCGCAACGACATACAAACCACAGGTCATCACCGCAGGCAGCGCAGATCTCCTCTCCGCGACGGATTCTGCGGTGACGACCACGACCGTTGTGCGACGGCCATTCCTCACCTCCACGAACTTGGCAACGGGGTCACAATAGCGTTTAACGAACCGCATGAGACCGCCCATCCGCTCGGGGTTGATAGCCACGCGAACGGGGTGCTCTGGATATTCAGACCGCTGTCTAAACACGAGTCGGTAACCGGAGTTCCGTGGGCGATTGTTTCTGGTCATGACCAGGTGCTCAAACTCGCCCAGGTATGTATGAGAACTTCGCCAGCCTTAATACCCCCGGTCGTCGCAACTCCTAGTCTCGATGTCCGCAAGCTGCGCGCCAAATATACCTTCTTGGACTCATGAAGATCGTTGTCGCACATGCCCTTGTACGGGCAACAGTTGACGTTGCAGTACAAATTCCTGAGGGCATTGCGGCAGGAGTCCGCACGAAGCAGGCCAGCACAGTTGCAGAATCCGACGTTGGGCACCACGGGGAAGACCGTAGCTAGCGGGTTGAATTGTTCCCAGAGATGCGCAACTTAGTGGGGGTGCCGGCACGAAGGTGTCGTTGGAACGGGTCGAGCGCAGCCTTGGAAGCACTGAGTGAACAAGTTGAACCACATCTGCTAGGATAAGGGTTTGTCAGATACACGCATGAAAACCGCTTTAAAGTCTGTGTTTCACCCACCTGTCTTTTTAGAGGAAGAATCAAGACTAAGCGTTGCCTCCCGACGTCACAGAAAATATTTATGTCACTACAGAGTGACGGTCGTTGCAGAGGAGGGATAGTGAGATTAAACTTTACAATTTTGTAGTGTAGCGTTTAAGCTGGGTACAAGAAATATGAATGAGTCAACGGGGTTCTTATTGAGACGAGTTTTACGTCTTAGCAGCCTTATGTCGTCATATTGTGTGGCAAATCTGCTGCGGATATGGTTGGTGCTTACAGTATTTTTGGCAGACGTCCACAGCAAGAACTAGGATATTATCCCCCCCCCC